TTTGGTTCATCCTGGTGCATAGTATTTGAGAAAATATCTCTTGGTGTTGCTTCTGATTTTGTGACTTTTATAAAATCTTGGTTAAAACCTTTGCTTCAAAGGATCGAATGTGGATGTCTTCATACAGTTTCCTATAATCTTTTTTTTTAGTAATCAGAAGGTATAATTTCACCTATAAGGAAATTTTCTAGCAACCTCTATGTAGGGGGAGGTATACTTCTCCAATGTCGAGCCATGATCTATCTTCTATGTAGAACACTCTCTTATCATCTTCAAGATACCGCCGTAAAGGATTTTCAATGAAAAAAACACTAAATTAAATATTGACCCAAGGGAATAGTAAATACAAGTATAAATATGTATAGATAGTTTCCTAATTCTTCTAATGAATCAAATTTTTGACTAATCGCATTTATACCCAGTCTCTAAATCTGTTAAATTTATACTGTGAATTTCTTTATTAATCGTGTTCATACTTTCTTTCTTTTTTCGTTGGAGGCCTTGTGGAAAAGCAACCAACCCACATAACCTCAAAAAACAGAAAGCAAAGTCATATCCATATGTTATGTTAGTATAAAATGTGAACAGGCATGACTATCTTATTAAACTAATCTGCCACGTACAAAATTCAAATACCAGAAAATTACAAAATAAATACATGAAGTCGTCCCAAGTCAACTTTACGCGTTGGAAACTTCTAATGGGTCCCCCGTTTCTTCCCAACACATTTGACCCAAACCCACACCCACACCCACACCACTTCCTCGGCGGCGACTTTGTAGTTTTGATCACATATATACAGATACAGATACAGACGCAGACCTTGATTTAGATACAGACTGAGTTAACGACTTTTAGAGAGAGAAAATGAATGAAAGGCTGTCAGAGGCAGCTCAAAAAGGAAGTGTAGATTCACTACTCCAACTCCTACAAGAAGATCCTCTGATCTTAGACAGAACCATTGTCTCATGCATATCAGAAACGCCTCTACACACATCGGCCATGCTGGGCCACACGGCCTTCGTCAGGGAAGTACTGGGTCGAAAGCCCGGGTTCGCCTCCGAGTTGGACTCACAGGGTTGTTCACCACTCCACTTGGCAGCAGCAAAGTGCCACCTTGAAATCGTCCATGAGTTACTCCTCGCAGCTCCTGAGATGGGTACGGTGAGGAATTTCGATGGAAGAACAGCTCTGCATGTGGCGGCCATCAAGGGAAGAGTTGGGGTGGTCACCGAGTTGGTCCGAGTGAAGCCTGAGTTAACTCGGGTGTTGACTGACCGAGGCGAGACGGTTTTGCACCTATGTGTGAAGCATAATAGGTTGGAGGTATTGAAGTTGTTGGAGGAACCGATGAAGAGAAATAGTGAGTTGGTGAATTGGAAAGATTGCGATGGCAACAATGTCTTGCATATTGCTGTGGCCAAGAAGCAAATTGAGGTATTCATTTATGCTTTCCCTTCTCAATTACAGATGTGTGTGTGAACCCCAGGGTAGCTCAAGTGGTAGCAGACCGTAAATCAAGACTTCCTAAGTTCAATCCTTGGTCCTGCATTTGACCAGACCAGGTGTGTCTAAGTTAATCCGGATACGTCTGATCATTGAACTAAAACAAAAATGTGTGTGTGTTGTTTCGTAAATATGTGAATACAGGTAAGGACTAAGGGCCTATACGTGAAGTCTGAGAAAGTTTGGGAGTTGGGAAATTTCTAAGGGGAATAAAATCAGAATGAAGAAGAAGATAGCTTGTTTTTTGTAACTCAAAAACAAAGAAAAAGGGGGATACTTATTGAAAGAAAATGAAGTGCTTAAGGAGGTTTCCTAATGAATCAGGGAACATATTTCAAATGTTTCCCTTTGAATTAGATTTACTTGACTCAAGTCCTAGCTTAAATGATGTAATCAGGGAAACTTATGGAATTGTGAGTTGAATGGTGTTCATACTGTTTGGCAATAAGAAGGAAATTATGTAATTAAGCAAACTTAAGAAATTAGGCATGCCTGGAAGTTGGAATGAGTAGTTGATGTTGAGCTAGGATGGTGATAAGGATCATAGTTATCAAATTGAGATTTGTGTCGGAAATCGAAATTTTAGATTTGAGAATCGGGAATTGTAAGATTCGATACAAAAGTTGGGGCCCCTATAATTAGCCAAATGAAAAGTTGGGGCATTTGGGCAGTGGGCTATAGGGGAATATATGCATCCTTGCGTCTATTTGAGAATTGGTAGAACCTAAAACTTGAATGGTTTAATGCATTTGAATTCACTAGAAGTTTATTCTGAAATTATGCAGATTATAAAGTTTTTGCTTACTATTAATGGACTGGAAGTGAATGCGCTTAATGCAAATGGGTTTACAGTTTTGGATAGTCTAATACAAAGTCCAAGAGATTTGAAAGATATGGAAATCGAAGATTCAATTCGGGCTGCTGGAGGTTTAAGTGTAAAGGAATTGCATTTGATCACAAGTGACTGGGCTCCGGCAAAAGTTCCTCAGATCAACGAACGGCTTTCCTCAACAGAGAGCAGATCAAAGAAGCCAGCAGTGAAGCATCAGGGTATAGATTGGCTTGGTAGACAGCGAAGCGCATTGATGGTGGTCGCTTCTTTGATTGCTACTGTGGCCTTTCAAGCTGGATTAACCCCACCAGGAGGTGTTTGGCAAGATGACTATCAGGTAGACTCCAATGGCAACCCAGTGAGTGATCCTCACACGGTTGGGACATCAGTGTTGGCATATAAAGGGCCGTTTGAGTATGGTTTGTTCATGATTTTCAACACACTCGCTTTCCTTTCATCTTTAAGCATAATCCTCCTGGCTGTTAGTGGGCTACCAATGAAACGACGGAGATGGATGTGGGTTCAAATGGTAATAATGTGGATTGCAATCAGTGCACAAGTGGTGACTTATTTTCTCACACTTCGACGTATGTCACCACGTAATTTTGAAGTCCAGGCCACGCTACGAGATGTAACTCAGATATCAGTCTTGACATGGTTGTCACTCATGGCTGTCGTCTTCATAGGAAACATTGTTCGTATGAATATATGGATTCTGAGGAAGTATGGCTACATTAAACAAAAAGAAAGCCATCCTTCAGCTGCAATTGATGACGATCAAGAAGAATTCTGATATGAGCAAAAGGAGCACCATTCCTCTGTTATACAGGTAGTTATCAGTATTCTTTTGTGTTTTGTGTTTGTTAAAATATGTTAAGCATTGTAATATTCTTCAAATGTGTAGATTTCTGGACTTTTTTCTTATATATTTTTGATGGTGGGGTGCTAAATGCAACCCAAATTGTCATAGTAATGGTTTAGAAAGTGTAGTTGTGGATCAGAATGAGTTCTAGATAAACATGCTATTTCATTGCTTCACAAATAGCAGAATTCAGCTATTGGATTTTCCCTAATTATTCTTTGTTCTTGGTTAAGTTAGAATGAATGTATGATTTTCGGTTCTTTTGAGTTCAATATGTATGTAACATGCAAAATGAAAATATTTTTCCCAAGCTGTGAGTTTTCTGCCAAACAAATGGGATGTGGAAATCTGGTGTTGGTATCAAGTTTTTCCCACATTTCTATCATAAAGTCGAGGTGGTGTATATGTTACATGTTAAAATTGGCTATATTTTTGGATTGGATTCCAACCCCCCCCCCCCCCCCCTCCCCCCTTCCTTCCCTCTCAACAGAAGAATTAGTTATTGATTGAAGAATATAAAACTTTATAATTAAAAAAACAAAAATTTTAAAAATTAAGAAAAATAAGAGAGAAAAGGCTTCTCGAGTCTTCTCTCTCAAAAAATAATTTGTTTTATATATAGAAATAGATTTTGTAATAATGCATCAACTGGTTTGTAAGTCCCATTGACCTTCCTAAAGTTGGTCAAGATCTGCTGCCCTTATATTCAAACTCTGACCCAGTTTAACTTCTTGAAGGAGGAATCTTACTAAAACACATGGGTTGTGTTTAGAATTTTTTTTTTTTTCGGTTGTGTTTAGAATTGGAAAAATTTTATTTGTACATAATTTAGAGATCTAATTTAATGTAATTATAAAATTAAAAGTAAATTAATTTAATATTGAAATTCACAATTTAATGATTATATTGAATTAAGTTCTTAATTAAAAGTCACCAAAAAATACTCTAGGTAATAATCTTCAATCATAATCTTAACTCTAATCCACCTTCAGCCTGAAGTATTCAATCCCGATAACTGTCTAAGTTGAATTCGGATTATTTAATTCGAACTGATTTCGGGTTACTTAACTCGGACTAATTCGAGTTAGAATTAGGGTTGGGTTTCTTAAAGTAAATTGTGAAATGTAAACCCTAGTTGTAGTTATGTTATTGAATCTATTGATTTATATATTTATTTTTAAATATGTTTGGGTTGAGCTTGATTTAAAATTTGGGCTTAACCCATATATATATATATATATGAAGAGAGAGAAATAAATAGTCATATTATATATATGAATATAAATAGATATGAGAGAGAGAATTTTAATATGAGAGAATTTTAATTTTAATTTTAATATATATATATATATACACACACACACACATAGTAACATTAAAAAAATAGTAACAATCAAACACAAAAAATAGTATCATTTAAACACAAAAAAATAGTAATATTTATACACAAAAAATAGTAATATTCAAAAACAAAAAAATAATAACTTTAGTAACAGTAGTAACATGTTCAACAAAAACAGTAACATGGTAAAAAAAAACAGTAACATGGAACATTCAAAAAAAAAAAAAAAAATAAAAAAAAAATATATATATATATAGATAGAGAGAGAGAGAGAGAGAGAGAGAGAGAGAAAATCAGTTATTCTTTAAATTTGAATTTTAAATTTATGTAAAAAATTTATTGATATATCTTCATTGATAGTAAATTAAGGGATAACAATTCAAAAATTAGGAAACTAATTTAGAGTTGTTTTTAAAGAAAGGTATTTTAGAGTTTTAAAAAAATAGTGGACTTAACTACTGATTAGTAAGATTAAAAATAGACTTATCCCTAAATAAGTCTAAATTTATTATAAGTCATTTAAGGAGGAATTAACCCCAATTTTCACTATTAAAAAATTCAACCCAAGCCCTTTTTTTTCGGATTGGGTTTGAGTTAAATTCGAGTTGGCTCACCCAAATTGCACCCCTAACAGTTGAACAATGATCATTAGACTAACTACTAACCTTTACAATATAATCCAACTCACATAAAATCAAAGATTCTGCCTACAAAGTGCGAGTGAGAGGCCTCCAATGGTTAAGTTATTGGGACGATGAAATATGATAATTGAATCTTAATATGAGAAATATTAAGAGGGGCTTCTCTAAGTTTGATGGACTAACCTTTCCAAAGTTGGTGCCTTCTGTGAATCCTCCCGTGGAATTATATATTGAAAGGGATTAACTTCTTTGGGCTTGTTTCTTCAACGTCTATATGTTTTTTATTGGGCTTTGTTAGAAACTTCAATTTGTCCTATGGTGAAGACTAACTGCCTCTTCAATTCTCGCATTGACAAGAAGAAAAAGCAAAGTACACTAGGTTAAGGTTTTATTGGGTTCGGGGTGATAAATAGGTGAATTTACTGTCTCATAATTTCATAAAAATTAATTGAATAACTAGATTTCACGAGACGATATAAATGGTGAGGTTCGTTTTGTTATCCGAGTTTTAAAAAAATTCAAGTTTGCTATTCATACTAAAACAATTAATTATCGTTTTGACATTTTTAATAACATTTGAAATTTTATCGGGTTTTACAATAGCGAAACGTAAGGTTACGTCTAGAATCGTTTCTGATGATGCACAAAAATGGTTTTGCACACCACCTGTCAAATGTATGTAATAAATGCAATGAAATCAATGAGAAAATTAAAGAAGACAGAATTTATAGTGGTTCGGTCAATTCGACCTACGTCCACTCTTCAATGGCTTCAGCTGCCGGGTATTTTATTGATTCAAAGGTATGGAGAATAGAGATACAAGCTTTGAGAAAGAGAATGGAGAATCAAAGAAATAGTAATCTCCGGTAGTCGGGGGCGTGACCTTCCTCTCCCTCTTCTACCAGATTGGAGCTATTTTATAGCAGCTAAAAGATTATTTTTGGTGGAGATCACGACTTATCCTCAAGGCTTCTTTATCGCATCTAAGAGATTATTCTTGGTGGAGATCACAACTTATCCTCAATGGAAGGAGGAGGTTGGGGAGCTCTTCATGAAACGTGGTCAAAGATTGGACCGTTTCCTTCGGTGGTGCAGATAAGCTTCCCATGCTCTCCTCTTGATGACGTGCTAAGCAAAAAGTCTAACCGGTCTTGGACTGTCTTGGACTTGGTGGATTTGGACCGTTTCCTTTGGTGGTGCAGATAAGCTTCCCATGCTCTCCTCTTGGTGACGTGCTAAGCAAAAAGTCTAACCGGTCTTGGACTGTCTTGGGCTTGGTGGAATCAAAATGAGGTTGGGCTCCTCAACTGGGGCTTAACCCATTATTTGCCCCCCAATGCCCCATGTCCAAGGAGACTTGGAGAAGGGAGGCATTGATTATATATATATATATATATATATATTTTTTTTTTTTAAATTTCAAGTCTTTCCCACTTTATTTTAAAGAATGCCTATAATATTCTGTTTGGCCTTTTTGTTTTGAAAAAGACTTATAACTTTCTATTTGACCACTTTATTTTGAAGAGGGTCCATAATTTTCTATTTGAGCTTTTTTCCACTTTTTGAAAAACCCTAGACTATAAATATAGTCTTCTTCTTCATGTTACTCATTTCACTCATTTTTAAGGTTGAGCACCCACCTCTTGAAAATTTTGAGAACTCAAGTCCTACCCATTTTGTTGAAGCCAAAATGTGTTCTCCTTGAATCCTTTCAAGAGTGTGATTTTTTCCTTGCTAGTTGAGCTTCTCAAGTGAACAATGTCGATTGAAGAGGGAGTGGTGGAGGTTGAAGAAAGGGAGGAAGTAGGCACCATTTTGGAGAACTTGGAGGCTAGTTTTGAGCATTCGAATGCTGTCTTGGACAGCTTTGGGGCTGAAAATGAAGGGCTGGACAGCGAAGGGGAGATGGGCAGCGCGAGGAGTGGCTTGGGCAGCGAAGGGAGACGGCTGGGCGCGCGACTGCGCAGCGCAGGCGCGCAGCTGGGCAGCGCGTGCGCCCTCGCTGGGGACCTGGGCGGCTGCCTAGGCTCTGCTCCTCCTGTCCTGGACAGCCCAGGCCCGCTGGGCAGCTGCCTGGGCGCTGGCCTTGCTGTCCTGGACAGCCCAGGTGCGCTGGGCAGCAGCCTAGCTGCTGCTTCTGTTGTCCCGGACAGCTTTAGATCTGCTGCGCTGGGCGGCTTTGGAACGCTGGGCAGCAGTATTTTTCTATCAAGGGGCGCTGAAAATCAGTCCAAGGTTCGTCAGGGAGAGCTAGGCAGTGGCCTGGGAGCACGGGCTGATCCGATTCCCACTCGAGGCGCTGATTTGGGCGCCTTAGGTGCTGATTTTTGGGCTGAAAATTCTGCTTTGTACAATTTTGAAGGGCCAGACACCCTTCAAGCTACTGGTCAACTTCGTTTTGACAAGCAACAGCATTCAGGCACACTTTCAGGCGTTGGGCTAGACATTGCAAGTAGTAAGGAAGCTTTGGGTGCTGCCCTTGATGATCAAGCCCCTATTGTAGCTCCCCCGATTCAAGTTCCTCAAGACTCTCCCAATGGTGATTTGGACTACTCCTTAAGGCCCTGGAAGAAGAAACGCAAGAGCAAAGTGGGACTTGATGATGACGGGTCTAAGGTGAGCACCCTTTCTAGTTTGTTCCGCTTAGATGAAGATATTTCAAGGCTTGTTTTTACTTATCGCATCCCTCCGACCGTGTTGTGCCGTCGGGCTGAGTTGGGCGAGTTTGCTTGCGATGACTCTTCCGGGGATATTGTTGTCTACGAGGAGATGCTTGAGGCTGGGTTAAGATTTCCCATGTCCTCCCCCATTTGTCGTGTTTTGCATTACTTTTTCTTGACTCCGGGGCGACTAGCGCCCAACGGTTGGAGAGTCCTGCTCGGTTTTCTTGCATTATGGAGAAAGGTGCACCACGAGGATGCTTCCCCTATGGAGTTTCATGCAGCATATAATTTGAGCGAAACCCCTACACCAAATAGGGGATGGTACTATTTTACCGCACGGAGTGGTACAGTGCTTACAGGAATGCGCTCTAATTGCGGCGGCTGGAAATCTTGTTTCTTCTTTATTGGTGGAGAATGGGCTTCAGAAGCCGACAGAGTTTCGGTGCCAACACATTGGGGTGCTGCTAAAAAACCCGGTATGCTGCACACTTCTTCTTTTTCCTTTTTTTTTTTTTGTGTGTGTGCTCACTTTTTCCATGCAGATATACCTGTGCTTTCCCGGGACCAGGAGTGGAAATTGGAGGCTGTCAAAGCT